TATCATTCTTTTAGTTTCATTCCAACTATTAGGTGAAGCAAGGTGATTTTTACACCTGTATACCATCTAATTTCCTTGCTTGCATTTTTTTTTTGTAATATTCACTGTTCTCAAGTACGTTAGCTATTTCAATCAATTTATCAAAATTAACAAATTCTGTCACGCAGCGAAAGCAATAATTTCATCACGAACCATTGTAGTTATTATTGGAACTGCATCTTTATTAGTTGGTTTAGCACTTGCTTTAGGTTTAGATATCGCACGTACACCGGGAGTCAACAGTGACTTAACACTATATACAACAACATTGAGTACAACTACTGCGACACTAATAATGAGTGTAGACATGCAGTTTTTTCAATGTCGTTTTGTTTTTGATGAAAATTATTATGTCCGACTGTGAGGGAGGGACTGAAGGTTGAAAATACTGTACGCATAGTTTTTAAAAACATTAATTCTAATATGGTCAGTTCAATGGCTACTGAAAACGGGTGTACTCGATTCCATCTACGTCCCAAGGTGATTGGACAATGAGCATAAGATAGTCTGAAAATAGAAGGACAGTCTGGAGCGAAAAGTTTTTGAAAAACGCCCTACAGCAGGGTAGTTTTTCGCCAAACTGGGGTGGGAGTAGGTTGCCTGCCGACTAGTCGACCGAGCCGCGCTGCTGAAATTGTACGCATTGAGTACTTTCAATAAAACTTATATTTTTCTGCAGAAGCTACATAAAAGCTGTGTTTTGGTGAGAAAGAATAAGTTTTCGAAAATGTTCACTTTTTTAAAGTCAGTATAAGCGAGAATTAATTAGGTCGAAAGCTTTGGAAGGTTGTAAATGGACTGTTTATCGCTACATTTTTTCATTGCGTAGCTGATGATTTTCAAACCTTTGTGTCGAATTAAAGCAGTTATGGAATGGCTAGAAAGATCGTATAGTTTTCTTCCACCAAATTCCTTTGTACAGGCATATTGAAACCATAACGGTTAGAACCCAGTTGATGTGTGTTTCTGAAAATCAGTTGGCGATAGTTCTAGTACCCTTCAATATCTGGCACTGAAAATCATACGATAGTTTCATTTTCTGTCAATAAATGAAACGTATTATCACTCAAGTCTATTAATATCTGCGTTTCGCAAAAAGACAGAGAAACGGAAAAGTTAAAAGTAGAGTATCCGGATACGCGGTCTCTATTTATCCCATGCTTTGGGATATCGAAGTTTCATTAAAAAAAATTTCATTAAAAGAAGTTCATTAAAAGTTTTAGTGAAAGTTCCGGTACTTTCATTGATAAAAACGCTTTAATCAAAGTTTTTTTAATGAAAGCCACCCAATCCCATGCTTTATGTAATAATTATCACACCGTTGCTTTTGAATAAAGAATATATGCTATGTGCCTGTAGATTGTTTTGAAGCGTTGATGATTTGAGTAGAAGGCCGTACGAATGAAAAAGTTTTGTTTAAGAAAAATTTTCAAAATTGTAATGTCACTTGTGCTAGTACAGTTCCACTCGTGTATACAGCAGCACCAGAACCAGATGACAACCAAAAGCTAATGTTATACTGACTACCACTGATCATTGTCACTTTTTGAGAGAGATAATCGTAAGTACTAGTTGAACCACCCTTGTAATAGTATGTACCAGTATGTTGATTACCCGTTGCGACTTGGCTAGTGGTTGAGCCAGTTACACGATTGCAATATATCCAGGGGGTCAATGAACCTGATTCGAAACCACCATTTGTTAACAGTTCTGCTGAAGTCGAAACTGATTTTACTGAAACATCATCCAAAAACCAGAAGGCCGGATCGTTTCTTAAGCTGAAAATTAATGATCCTAATGTACCTCCAGCCGCTGCAGTATACACATAGGAATAAAATGTGTAACCTTGAGGAGCTGTTAGATTGAGTGTATTCAGGCCTATTACTAAAGCATTGCTATCGAGGCAGACATTTGCTGTGGTTGTTGTTGTTGTCGTTGTCGTTGTTGTCGTTGTTGTTGTTGTTGTTGTTGTCGATACTAAAAGAAAACGAAAAGAAATCTACCCTTCCCATGCTTGATATATCTCACCCTGATGCACAACATGCCAAAACCAACAATTCCGTCCTCACAACGAAAGATCCTCAAGTGTATCTCCGTTTTTTGCATGACAGGCTTTCATACATACATAATCAATAATTCACAGAAAAAGACTGATGGATCTTGAGATTTCCACAAAGGCCGCTGGTAAGTTCCTACTCTTATATTTGAAATCAACATAATTGATTACATATGTTTACATGTCTTTTATGCAAAAAGCGGTGGGATATGTGACAACATTTCCTTGTTATATAGAATTAGACAGTTTACTTATCCTAGATTTATTTGCTGAGACACTAGCTAAAGATAGTATCTTACATATAGTGGTGTTCGCTGTTGTTGTCGATGAAAAAACTTAAACTTTTGAACGCATTTATATACAGGATGCAAAAAGTTAATTATATTTTTATGAAAAAGAGGAATTACTATCATTCCGCATTCGACTAAAAATACAAGACAATATCACTTTCCCAAGTGGAAAAGGATCCCGGAAATAACTGTAACAAAATCGAAAAGGTCTCTCCTAAAACTCTAAGAAGTCTTCTACCTTTAGAAAGCCGAAAAGATTTATAGGAAAATTTTTAAATATCCGAAAAGATATTTTCTAAATCCCACCATCGAGATTTCCACAAAGAACGCTGGTAAGTTCCTACTCTCATATTTGGAATCAGCACAATAGATTACATATGCTTACATGTCTTTTATGCAAAAAGCGGTGGGATATGTGACAACATTTCCTTGTTATATATAGAATTAGACAGTTTACTTGTCCTAGATTTATTTGCAGAGACACTAGATGAAGATAGTATCTTACATGTAGTGGTGTTCGCTGTTGTTGTCGATGTGGTCGTCACTTAAATAATCAAAAAGTAGACGATGTGATTTAATCAGAAACAGACAGTGACAATAACATATGGTTGTACTGACTGTCGAAGGTACGTAAATATATGTAATCAATATTGCTGATTGCAAATATCAGAGTGGGAACTTACCAGCGATCTTCGTGCAAATTCCAACATCCGCCAGTCTTTTCCGGACAAATGCATTTATTTAACCTTACCAGGTTCTTAGAGTGCTATCCACGCGAGATCATTTTAATGACGGTCCGATGAAAGTTGACAGAACTTTCAGGTTATTTATGCCTTTCCAAAGATAGTATCTTACATGTAGTGGTTGTTGTACTTAATGTTGTTGTAGTCGGCACTTAAATAATCAAAAAGTAGACGATGTGATTTAATCAGAAACAGATAGTGACAATAATATATGGTTGTGATGACTATCGAAGTACATTTCGATTTTAGGCAGTCACCGCAGCTCCGGTAGTAGGATTTAGGGTCGTTATTTTAAGTTATGCAATAAATATAGTTCTTTATGTGGATCAAGTGCGTATGGTAGTCATACGTACCAGCTGTTTCGTCAGCTATCCAATCCGTGTAGCTTGATATTCTTGTATAAATTGTCGAAGGACTGCCACCACACGCAGGTGTAGATACTAGTCCAATTAGGTTCCAGATTTCAGATGTTGAATCGTACATCATCAAGGGAGCACCTTCGTCGCCACTACAGGCATCCTGAAGTCCATCCGAATATCCCGCACATAACATCGCGCCTAGATCAACATCATCATATGTACCAGCTAACGAACAGGCTGGATCGGTTTGAAGTATCGTCTGTCTCAGTTGTCCCCTATCTATGTCTGATGTGTTGGATGAGCCATACCCAGTAAGAACAGCTGATTCTTTGGTTGTTACTGCCGTTGAGGGTAAACATATATATGGATATGTGCTGAGTACATCAGATGCTAAAGTTAGTATAGCAATATCATTTAATTTAAGGTCATCTGTTGTGGTGGTGGTGAAATTTGGATGAAACACAATATCCTCAACTGCAATTCGTGTTGTTGTTGTACCATACGTAGTCGCGTCCGTTTTACCATATTCCACGATGGTGTTTGTTGATGAAACAAGTTGGTTTTGGTATAGACAGCTAGCCGTTGTAAGAACAGTTGAGGAACCTGTCAGGACACCTGTACACTTCCATGCGGCTGAGGTGCCGATCAGCATCATCCATGGCCATGTCAATCGTGTCAAAACCGATGTACCGCCAACAACTCTTTTTCTTCGACGACTTGCTGCTGATGTAAAATTTGCAAATACCGGTTGTTGGGTTTGACATCCACAACCAACAGTTGAATCACACGATAAATCTCTTAATTCTGATGGGACAGTTCGCACAAGTATGCTTATTGTAGTGGTAGTTGTAGTCGATGTTGTTGTAGTCGGCACTTAAATAATCAAAAAGTAGACGATGTGATTTAATCAGAAACAGATAGTGACAATAATATATGGTTGTGATGACTATCGAAGTACATTTCGATTTTAGGCAGTCACCGCAGCTCCGGTAGTAGGATTTAGGGTCGTTATTTTAAGTTATGCAATAAATATAGTTCTTTATGTGGATCAAGTGCGTATGGTAGTCATACGTACCAGCTGTTTCGTCAGCTATCCAATCCGTGTAGCTTGATATTCTTGTATAAATTGTCGAAGGACTGCCACCACACGCAGGTGTAGATACTAGTCCAATTAGGTTCCAGATTTCAGATGTTGAATCGTACATCATCAATGGAGCACCGTTGTCACTAGTACAGGCATCCTGAAGTCCATCCGAATATCCGGCACATAACATCGCGCCTAAATCAATATCATCATATGTACTAGCTAACGAACAGGCTGGATCGGTTTGAAGTATCGTCTGTCTCAGTTGTCCACTATCTGTGTCTAAACTGTCGGATGAGCCATACCCAGTAAGAACAGCTGGTTCTGTGGATGTTATCGTCGTTGAGGATAAACATATATATGGATAGGTGCTGGGTACATCAGATGCTAAAGTTAGTATAGCAATATCATTTAATTTAAGGTCGTCTGTTGTGGTGGTGGTGAAATTTGGATGAAACACAATATCCTCAACTGCAATTCGTGTTGTTGTTGTACCATACGTAGTCGCATTCGTTTTACCATACTCCACGATGACATTCGTTGATGAAACAAGTTGGTTTTGGTATAGACAGCTAGCCGTTGTAAGAACAGTTGAGGAACCTATTAGGACACCTGTACACTTCCATGCGGCTGAGGTGCCGATCAGCATCATCCATGGCCATGTGAATCGTAATAAAATCGATGTGCCACCAACAACTCTTTTTCTTCGACGAGATGCTGATGTAAAATTTTCAAATACAGGCTGTTGAGTTTGACACCCACAACCAACAGTTGAATTACACGACAAATCGCTTAATTCTGATGGGACAGTTCGCACAACTATGCTTATTGTAGTGGTACTCAATGTTGTTGTAGTTGTAGTCGATGTTGTTGTTGTAGTTGTACTTAATGTTGTTGTATATAGTGTTAAGTTACTATTGATTCCCGGTGTACGTCCGATACCTAAACCTAGAGCAAGTGCTAAACCAACTAATAAAGATGCAGTTCCAATAATAACTACAATAGTTATTGTTGAAATTGTTGCTGTCATTGCGTCACAGAATTGATAATTTTGATAAATTGATTGAGATAGCTAACGTACTTGAGAACAGTGAATATTACAAAAAAAAAATGCAAGCAAGGAAATTAGATGGTATACAGGTGTAAAAATCACCTTGCTTCACCTAATAGTTGGAATGAAACTAAAAGAATGATA